TCCCTGCGGTCCTGAATGCATGTCTGATGGCGGGCACCTGGAGTAGGGTGTGGGCCGAGGTAGACAGCATTCACCTGGGCTAAGACTGTGCTTTTGAGGGCGGCAATAGAAGCCGAAAAAGAAGCCAAAAGAGAAGCCGAGAGAAAAGCCGAGAGAGAAGTAAAGAAGCAGAAGCAGAGATCACCGGAGAGCCCAGAGAGAGTGAGGATTTGCTGGGGGCTGGGAGGACTGCCAGCCTCCTGGCCCCCCAGGACCCCTGCCTGCCGTATGCCTGGTGAACCCCAATAAAAGCCTGCAAAAAACCACTGAGGACTCTAACTCCTCCTTTACCTGGTCTGCTGGATCAGAAAACCTGCACAGTGTCCTGTTGCTGACTCTACACCACCCCTCTTAGCAGCTCCCCTGGAGGGCTGCAGAGCCCTACCCAGGTTACCCCGCAGTGCCACAAAGGAGCCCATGAGATTTTGGCACAGCCTCAACCAAAACTGCAGATGGGATGCCTTATAACACAATGCAGGCTTTATCTACATTTGTCTCTCACTAGCTTCAAAATGCATGGTTACCTCAACACCCACACTGTGGGTATGGACTCCTCGGGAGAATCTGTGACTGCGTACCTGGGGGGAATAGAGAGCCCTGGAAAGCCAGCTCAGAGTCCTTGGGCTCTCCCTTCCGTGATGTTGAGTCTCAGCTGGAGACCAGCCTGGGACATTTGGGCGCAGCCTCTCAGAGAGGCTGTGTGCACGCGTGTGTGGAGGCACGCACACATGTGTGGAGACACACAAACACACACACACACACACAAACACACACACACAACCTGTAGTGCCCTCAGTGCTTCACCTGGTCAAGGAGGGGTCCACCTACAACTACTCCCTGTTAATTGAGTGGATTGAACGAGACTTGACTCTCCTGTCTGTGGAGTCAGCAGATGTTGCTTCCAGGAAAGACCTGTGCTACCCGACGCAGCTCTGCGGACATGGGAAGAGTGGGGAGACAAGGCCCGAGTCTCAGCAGGGGGGTCTGGCAGTGTGATCAGGAGATGAGGGACCTAAAGCAGGTGATGGGGAGGCCAGGACAGGAGCTAGAGCCGCTGGGGGATCCTGGGCTGGCTACATGGAGCCCACATTGAATGAAGGTCCCCAGCAAGGAAGATCCCAAAACAGTCAGCTCCACTCCCCCTAGTGTGGGGGAGTCATGAAGCCTGTGAGCAAGCAAACCGGTCAGTCGCTCATCACCCAGATGGTCAAACTCAGAGCCAGGATTTGTCTCTTCACTGAGGAGCTGGTTCAGGGTGGCCACCAAGGCACTCAGTGGGATTAGGAACCTGACACCCAGCTCCCCAAGTGCCAGGTGTCTGTGATTATATAAGGGGGGTCGAGAGGGAGGGGGCGCAGGATGTGAAGTGGGGAGGTGGGCAGAAGGGAGGGGGTTCAGGATGTGAAGTGGGGAGATGCACATTTCCAGGTCCAAGGTTGGGCTGTCCAGGCATCATGGGGATTGGGGTCTGACACTCTCAGCAGGGAGTGTCTCCTCAGGGTCAAGATCAGGCAACAGTCAGGAGTTATTTGTTTTTTATATTCTCATAACCTCCAAGGAGCAAAGAGGTTTTTCTTAGAGGCGTAACAATCAGCTTTATGAGACCCAGGAAATGCCATTGAAAAGAAATGTATTAGTTGCAAGTTGAAGAATAATCACAAGGAGGTAATAGAGGGGAACGAGAACAAAGATTGCTTAAAGTTTAGTTCATTGAGTCCCAGGATTTGCTCTAGAGGTTTCTGTTACAAAATGGAGGTGATCCAGTTACAGCCTGACCTCAATTCACATGGGTCTAAGATTCCACAATCCAATCATCACAGTATTGGACAAAAGGGCCAGGGTGTGCAGGGAGATGGTATCAGAAGTCATTTGTGTAAGGACAATGGCCCTTGATGGATGAAGGGAGAGAATCCATACATAAAGTCCAAGATTTTAGAAAATCACGAGATGGGATGGAGTCCGGATCAAACATATATAGCTTAGAGCCCAGGTTAGCCCTTCACCCTCCAAGTCTGTGACCTTAGCCTGTGACCTTAGGTTCAGAAGACATATTATTCACAACAGTTTTCAGGTCTCAGTTAAAGTGAAGAAAAACAGGTCTCAATTAAAGTGATGCACGAGGGGGAGAGAAAGCAAACTCACCTACCCCTACCCACTGTCTTTGTTCATACACAGTGTTCAGACAGAGCGCCCATGTTGGTAATGAGTAATACAGAAAATGAAAAAAAAAAGATGTCGGAGATTCCATGCAGACACACTAGAGGAAAGTGGAGAGAGTGAAATACCCAATTTGAAGAGATCACATGGCCCAACAGGATGTGACAAAAACACGGTACATCATCACTGTTTTGTGGACTAGAGTAATTTTATGAGATATTACTTCACGTGGCAACGCTTCAACGATGGGAAGATGAACTAATAGAATTACAGGCGAAGGGAGATTGCAAAGCTGAGGAAACAAGATGGGGCTCAAACAACCCAACCTCTAAACTGAGTGATGACCATTGAGAGTTGAACAAGACCTGTGATGACTCAGAAAGACGATGAAAGAGCAAAGGTGTAGACATGGGACAAGATGAAACAGACATATGGAAGACCCTAAATGAAGAAAAGCAGGTGCGATACGGAGAGGATGGAAAATAGAATACAGAACATAGTCACTTAGGTGAGGATGTTTCTTGAAATGAAAGCACCGGCTCACAGCTCAAAACACATGGTGTCCCAGGAAAAGTCACAGCCCGTGGTTGATGCACAGGCACAGCTTGGGAAAAGTGTGTGATATCAGGGGTACAGAAAGAACTCTCTAGGCAGGCATTGGCAAAAGGAAATTCATTTGAAGAAGGAAGAACACTTGAGTGACTTCATCTTTCACAGCACCCATCAGCACCTGGAGCCATTTGAATGTCTGCAATGTCACAGAAGACTGAGGAAGAGAAGGCACTACCTAAGAAAGTCACCTCGCCCCAAGGTGTGCGTCCCTGTAAAGACAAGAGGCAGCGATTCTCTAGGGTGAAGATGCTCAGGGAATGAGCCTCTTGAGAAAATTGATGGGCCACAGAACTCGGTCATCCATTGATGAACTAATACAACGACTGGTGTCAGCACAGGGTCCGCCTGAATAAAGAACGGGCAGGAAACCACGTGGGGACACGGTCACAGTCCTTGGCGATTCACCAATAATAAGGTCTTGGTGAACAGCAGAGAGAACGAGAGGCCAATGGGAGAAGCCCTGGTCCCTCACCTTTGCCAGTGGGGAGGAAATCAACTCTGAGAATGGGGACAGGCAGGAGCAGTGGGGAGGGTGGAGAAGCCGGGGTGAACTCGTGGGGCTCCTCCCCTTGCTGTCACGTGGAGGGGGGGCCAGTGATTGTGCGAGCCCCTGAGGGACTGGAGGGGCTGCATTAAGCACCCGTGGCTGCTGCGATTCCAGACCCCAGCCTCGGAGGGGACCTGAAGAGAAGGAGACTGGTGGAGGGGCCACCAGTTCTCAGGGCCCCTGAGCCCATCCAGGTGAGGAGGGATGAGGCAACAGTTCACCTGAGGAGCAGGTGGGGTTAGGGAGAGGGAGGCGTCCAGGTGGACTTCCTGGTGGCAGCTCAGGTGGGGAGGAGAATTAGAAAAGAGACAAGGAGCCTGGGGGTCACACAAAAGAGGCAAATAGGGACTCCAGAGAGCTGGCGGGATTGGGACCCTGTTCTTTAAGGTGACATTAGTGATTGTGTAAGTGCTCAATGATGATACACACACACACATACATGTGACACATACACACACGTCTCCACTTCTGTGTTGATGCATGTACATGCATGTTTACATATATTCATAGACATGAACATATATACACGATACCTGTGAGCATATACACTCATAACATATACTCACTCATCTCATTCCTTTATGTGTATTTACTTTTTTTATAAAAAAAAAGAGAGATTTATACAAGAACCTGGGTACAGGTTAGATGCCCAGGAGGGTGAGAGCATTCACCAGAGACAGAGCGGGTAACAGAACAGGCAAACTGACTGAAATACACTGCTAAGTGGAGCAGCGGGCGCGGCAGGAGAGGTCTGCAGGCCATGTGGGACCCTCACCGGCTGGTGGGGATCGAACCAGTGCTGCAGAGGCTGCAGACAGCTACACAGCGCGGCGCTCAACCACCTGCACCACCAGGGGAGGCCCTGTATATTTACTTATTAACACAACTTAAGGGGTAAGTTTTTATTCAAAACAATTTCTGGCTTACAAAAAATATTTCAAGAATAAAAGAGAATTCTAGTCTATTTTACAGCCATAGTCCCATACCATTAACACGTTCCAAATTTCCTGGTCACATATCTCTTCCTACCGGAATCTATAGATGCAATTTTTTAAAAATATATATTTATTTATTCGTGCAAAGAAAAATGGGAGGTAGACCAGCGGTATAAAGGGGAGAGAAGATTCACCAGAGACAGAGTGGGGAGCAGAACAGGTGGATCAACTGAAATGCACTGCTGAGGGGAGACAGGAGAGGTCTGCCACGCCATGTGGGTTACCTCCATGGCCAGGGATCAAATTCGGGCCACAGAGGTGATGGCGCTGAGACTTAACCCCTAGGCTACCAGGGAGACCCCTACACCTGATTTTTTGATGCATTTCAAAGTAAGTTATAGATATCAACACAATTCACTGGAACCACTTCACAATTCATATTCACTAAAACTCAACATCAGTTTACATTGTTTCAAAGTAAAATTTACTTGCAATGAAATGCTCCATTCCTCCGGATACTATGGTGAGTTTTGACAATAATGAATTATAGCAAGACAGATTTTCCATCACCCCAAAATGTTCCCGCAAATCCCTGTTGGTCCCACCGTGAAAGGCAGAGGCAGGGAGCCCTAACGCCCTGAGCCCACAAGGACACCACCTCACAGATGGGTGGCGCTGACCTCCCTGGACTTGCTGCACCCCAGGGGTACTCAGGCCTCACTCAGCTGCTGCAGCAGACACAGGGAGGCATACAGGGCAGACAGGGGTTCCTTGGCTCCCAGATCCCAGGTGGACCTGGGGTTATTCAGCTCCATCCTCAGCCCACACTCCTGCAGCAGCCCATAGGTGATGGCCACACCCTCATCTTGCAGGAGGGCAAGGAGTTGGGGGTCAAGGGTGAAGGGAATCCACCAGGGGTACTTGAAGTTGGGCTCCAGGATGCTTCGTACCTAGAAGTAATGGCATAAGGGGTCACGGGTCAGCCTTTGAGCAGAGAAGAGGAAAACTTCTGTCCCAACATTGAGGACTGACACAGGGTGATGGAGGAAAGAAAGTTCTGGTTATGGGGACAGGACTCCATTCTGGTCCCGTCTTGTGCTCAATGTGATCTTACACACAAGTTACCAGAAATTACTGAAGATTGGTTCCTGGGTTGCTAACTGGTGAGACTAATATACTAACATAGCAAAGGTATTAGGAATTTTAGGTGTGTGTGTGCATGTGTGCAGTGTGTGAATATGTATGTATAATTCTACACACTCCTATGGACTCATACATACATACTCGCAGACAGAAAAAAACAATATAAATGGGAACTATGTGAGTAAAGTAGGGGTATTCCTCAGAGCCCTGAACTCCTAAACCTCTAGCCCTGTTCAACTATTTTAGAACTCTGAGGGCCTCTGCAGTGGTTACCACGGAAACTGAGACCCGCACACCCACTCTGACTGCTCTCCAGAAGGACATGAGCAGGATTTCCCAGGGGCCACACTGGGATGGGGTCTCCCCTCCCAGCCCAAACTGCGTCATCTCTCTTTCCTCAGAGTCTCTCTTCTCTCTGCCTTCCTCCCTCTGCCCCCACGGATGCTGGCCCGGGGATTTCTCACCAGCTCCCGCTGATAGGGCAGGATCCTCTTCTCCATGGACTGGGCCAGCAGAGCATGTTGGGTGTCACTCAGCACTGGGGACAGAGGGTGTTTGGGAAAAGAGTGAGGAGTCAAATACCCCACAACAGGGTGACCTAGGAAACCCTATGGGGGGCGCCCTGTGGCCTAGGAGTTAAGTCTCAGGGTTATCACCACCATGGCACAAGTTCCATCCCCAGCCAGGGAGCTGACTCACATGGCGCAGCAGACCTCTCCTGTCTCATCCGCTGCTCCCCTCAGCAGTGTATTTCAGTAGATCCCCCTGTTCTGCTCCCCACTCTGTCTCTGGTGAATCTTCTCAGCCCCCTCCCCACACCTCTGGCCTGCACCCAAGCTCCTGTATGCATAAATACATAAAATCTTTTAAAAATATATTTAAAGAAAAAAAAAAAAAAACAAGATGCAGACCTCTAGGCAAAAGTATAAAACCTACTAAGTTTTTATTAGTCCAAGTTCCTGTCCTCTGAGTCTTTCTTCTGCTTTGGGGATGGTCTCCAAGGTGCTACAGCACATAGTCCAGAGTTGGGATTCTGAGGCTAGAGGCTGGAATCACCCACCCCAATGAGAAGGGGGATGAACTTGGGCTGGTCTGTCCAGGTTCAAGTTTCATGTTACATGACTAGTTTACCTCATGGGCCCCTCTGAGTGAGGACCACTGTGAGGATGAAAACCATATTCATCAAAGTGCTTTGAAGAGGGGGCAGCTAACAAAATCCTTTATGGGGTTCTGGGCACCAACCCTGAGACTCCCACAGCCCCTTAAATCTCTCTCACCCATTATGGCTTCAAGCAGGTAAAGGATGAGGTACACTGCGTCAACATGTGGATATTCTGGGATTCTTGCCAGCTCATCCAGGATGGTGGCACCAGGGCCATTCAAATGACCCAGGGGCTTCTCCTGCTCAAGCTGCAAAAGCAAGGATGATGATGATAATGATATTGTCATATAATTTTGCCTATAAGTTATGATCTATAAGTTATTAATGAAAAATTGGGTTAATGTCTTTCTCTACCCCCAAGGGATACCAAGAACCTGCACTATGTGGGCATCATAACCCTGGCCCTCTCATCCCCCTACTATTAACCAAGTCTCCTTCCCCATGCATGTGGGCAGCCATATCTCCTAAACACACACCATTTGCAGGTTTGATCAGCCCCAGACAGCTGTGGGGCCCCCTTACCGTGTCCATGAGGGCCTCCAGAGCCCGTCGGTCCCCCAGCATAGCTTGGATATTAATTAACATGATAGCCCGAATGTTCCTTGACAGCAAAGCCACTTTCCTCACTCTGATGAAAACTTCTTCTTCCATGCACTCGAAAGCTGTCATCCAGGACATGGAAATAACTCTTAGGTTAGAACATTCCTAGGATAATCCTGTCCCCATTGATGTGAGCAAAACTCATCTGATTTCAAGCTGATAACAAAAAGCATCTCTGTGAGTGATGTGTTTGAGCTCCGGGGGTGGAGGTGTCAAACTAGGCTAGAAAGATGAAGTTACAGCTGAAATAAGGGGGTAGACACTGGGAGCAGAGATGGAGAATCTTAAAGGTGTCTTGGGATATGTAAGAAAAGTGCCCAGACTCCTTCAAGGGATCTTTCTGGAATAATGAGGATTCCAACTTTGGGCTGCAGAGATGAGAGTCTTCCCTGCTCTGGACTCGGTTTCCACATCTAAAATGAGGCTGTGGCACCTTCCTCGTGGTGGAAGGGGTTAAACACAGCACTGTGAAGCTGTCCACAGTCTCTGCAGCACAAGTTCAATCCCTGGCCGGCCAGGGCACTGACCCACATGGTGCAGCAGACCTCACCTGACTCGCCCACTGCTCCCCTCAGCAGTGTATTTCAGCAGATCCGCCTGTTCTGCTCCCCGCTCTGTCTTTGGTGAATCCACTCACCCCCCTACATATACCTCTGGCCTTACCCCAGTTCCTGTATGCATAAATAAATATTTAAAAACTTAAAATAAAATAAATAAATAAAATGAGGCTGTGGTGACAATCACCGGGGTGTCAAGTATGTGAAGCACATGCAGTAGTACTGGGCACATCCTGCAACCTGCACATCACACTTGCATCTCTGTCTTCTGAGTCTAGAAGGAATTCACCTCTCCCAGAGCACCTGAGGGTCCACCCACAAGACCCTGGTGCCCAGATGAGTGTCTGTTTCCGACACAGCCTCATCAGGGTGGAGGGACTGAGTGTGGATGAGGGAGGGTGGATGAACAGAGGAGGGATGTGACAATGTGAACATGGAGGAGAATTCATTCAGTTGTCCAAGTGGCAGGGAAGGTCCAAGTGGTATCAGCCTGTCAGTTTCCACCAAGAACCCTAGGTTACACTCACTTTGCCCAAAGGGTTCCTCTATTCTTCCTGGAAAGAGAAACACAAACCATCATGTCTCATGCATTTTCAAATTTAATTTTGAGACACTGTGGAGGGTTTGCTCTTCCTCCGACCCCGCCTCCCTCCTGCAGCACCTCTTCCTGCCCCATCAGGCCCACCCTCCCCACCCTCAGCCCCCAGGAGCCCCCTGGACAGGGTGCTGGGCCAGGCCCAGGGCAGTGGTGCCAAAGGCAGGGACAACTGCCGGACTCAGCTGATCGTGGCAGGAAGGATTCCTCCCCCAACCCCACCACACACTCACCTATTGGGGGGATGGGACCAATATATTCATACTCCATTACTAGAAGAGAAATTAAATTCCCAGCCCAAAAATTAGTTAAAAGATGCTCAGTTTCTCTGCGCTTCTGCCCCTACTTCCCCACCCTCCTCCCCACCTGTGTTGCCCACCGCCCAGGGGACCAGATCCCAGTGCCCTGGGAAGGAGGCCACTGCAAGCATGTGGGGGTTCTGCTGTGCAGAGTTGAGTCCTGCAGATCAGATCCCAGTCTCCTGGCACAAAAACAGCTAACCCCATATCTCTGGGCTGTACCCCAGTTCTTATATGCATAAATACATAAAATCTTAAAAAAATCACTTACCTAATGACCGATCACTAAACCTCTCTGGAAAGATAAAAAAGAAGGGCTCACTCACCAAGAGTTCGTTACAAAACACACACACACACACACACACACACACACACACACAGGTGACATCTCAGTGTTAAGCAGAAAAAGCTCGTTTTTTGTGTGTTTTCCAGGGTCCTGCTAGTGAAAATAAGGGAGCTGGCAGGCTGTGCAGGAGGGGCTGGCTTTCTGTGGGGAGAGGACTGAGCCCCTGAGGCTCTGGTGAGCACCCTGATTATCTCTGGGTGCACAGGGTCAAGGTCAAGTCAAACACACTGAGTTGGGAACTCAACTTCTTCTGGAAAGCTTTTCAGTTTACCATCTGAGTCATCGAGAACATCTGAAAGGAGAAGAAGCCAGGTCACCCTGCTGGAGGCTTCCCCATCCCCACCAGCAGCCCAGCCCTGCTCCTGCAGACCTATGTGGCAGCTATTCCCAAAGGGACTGGGCACCCCTCCCTCAGAGGCAGTGGGGTGCTTCTCAGAACTAAGCGCCCCTGACCTCACTCTGGACCTTCTGGGTCTGATGCTGAGAAGACCTTGGGATCTGCACCCACGGGTGCCACTCGCTCCACCAGAGACCTGCCTATGTTGGCCGGGAGCTGGGCAGGGGAGGGTCTGCTCACTCCACCCTTGCAGGGCTCTCCCCTCTGCCGGCTCTCAGCTCTCTCTGTCCTGAGTCTCCTCCCTCCTGACCTCTCCACACACTGCCAGCTTCCCCGGTGGCTTCAAATCCTACTTAGAAAACGCCAAGGCCTGAGACTTCCCTCCACCAAAGAGAAAGTGATCACAAAGGACGGAGCCCATGAAGGAGACAGCATGGAGACAGCCCAGGAAAGGAGCCCCAGAGATCAGTGTCCAGCATCCAGGGAGGGGAGCGTCCAAGCAGGCCCTGCCAAGACGTGATCTCTGGGGTGAACTGCAGCGGGTGGAGGCAGCGAGGCCGGGAGGGGAGACACAGAGTGTGGAGATTCTTTATGGACTTGGCTGTGAGGGGAAGTGGCTGGCGGGAGGGGGATAACTGGAGGGCCCTTGGGTGAGGGGCTGTGAGAAGGCAGGAACCTGAGCCCCTGATCAGGTCCTGGGGAGGATGCAGGAGGCTGGGGGTGGAGACCACTCTGTGCCAGACACTCCTCTCTAACTCCCCCCACTCTGCAGAGCAGGTCTCACTTCCGAGTTAGAGAGAAGACGGCCCCAGAGAGTCTGATGTTCTCCATAGTCACACAGCAAATATTTGCAAATTACTCAACTCGCTGCACTTTATTTTCCTCTCTGATCTCTTGTAGGGATGAAATCAGATCAGTGAGCCGGTGTCCGCCTCCCCTGCACATGGTGAAGGCTCCTTCCCTTGCTCATCAGCATGAAGCTGTGTAACAGCAGCTGGCCCCGCCCCCTCGTGGCTGTCCCTGCCGCAGCACTGCTGTGGGGGCCTTTAGCTTCTCTCAGCTCATTCCCCACACTTATGAAACAGTATTTTTGAAGATTGAGCATCTTCCACCTCCCTCCCTAAAGTCATGGCGCTTTGTCATACGCCACGACCATAGAAGCACAATCATCTCCTGCTGCCTCTGCGGGGGTCTCTGACCTCCTCTACACTGGGGACACCACCCTCCTCTCTAGCCCTCAGGAGGGCCTCACTCTGGGGAGGGCTGGACTTTCTCCAGAAGCAAAAGACACTGACCCTGCAAGACTGGACAGTTCAAGATCTTTCTATCCAATGTCACTGACAGGGGGTAATTGACAGCAGGACCTGACCCTGACCAGATGCTGCAATTAGATTTCTCCAGAGGGGAGTGGGGGGCAGGATTGAGGACATCCCCTTATCTCTGAGGAATCTGCCCCCGGCTGCATCAGGCCACCTGAAGATGTGACTTAAATTAGGGAATGGAGAGTCCGAGGAATGTGAGCTGGTGGGTTTGCAGCCTTCATGTCACCCAGATTGCACACTTGCTTTTTGATGCAAACGGTTTACACATGTGGTGTCAGAACCCAAGTGTTTGTGTTGGGGACTGTCCATTCAGGCTAATGAAGGAGGAAGAGATTCTGGTAAAATCCTGCCTGGGTGGTTGTGGCTTTAGTCTACAACGTCTGTGATTGCGCTCATGTCTTGCAAGCTTTGACTTGGGGGTTGTGGGTAACCCCATAGAGGGAGGATCCTGGGGCTCCTCAGTTGAGATGCTAAGAAAAAGTCACCTTGAAGGATCAGAGATGGTCTGCCCAAGGGCAACCTTGCCCAGTGCCAATCACAACCCCATGCTGAGCACCCGTTTTTCATTCTTCACACCGTCTCAGTCTCCCTGCAACAACAGTTTATAAGGCCCGATGTGTGTGCTCCAGACAGTTGGTAAAGGGTGCTGACAGGCAGCGAAGTCACGTTTCATGTTGATGCTCTTTTCCTCCATTTCTCTTTCCAGCAGAAACACACCCCACCCCTCGGAACATGTGCATCCCTCAACCTCTACTTACCCCAACCATCATCCTCAAAAACCAGCAGCTTCTTCTTGTAGGCCATCACCATGCCCTTCTGTAGACTCAGCACCAGCTCACTCTGCTTTTGATACTTGCTTTTTCCTTCACCCTGGGGGCAGAAGCCCAGGAACATGGTCAAATATACACCTGGTTTTGAAAGTCAAGGAGATCTGGAAAAGAGGCTGGAAGTCATCATCCACCCTAACAATAAGTAAAAATGTAAAGAAAGAAAGTCACCAACAACTGTTCTGAGATCTGTCCGGAGAGTAGTTCACATTGCAGAGAATCTCAACGTCCTCAAAATTGGAGAGACCGAACGGTAGGGGAAGAAGATCACAATTTACCAGAGCAAAAACCTCCATGTGAACCATGGTCAGGGTAAAACTCCCATTCATTGCTGGTCAGAATGCAAAATGGTGCATCCACCCTGGAAGACAGTGTGGCGATTCCTTGCAAAACTAAGCATACTGCTCTCACCATAAAATCTAGCATGTTCTTTATTAGTTACTAAAAAGTTATTGAAAATTTGCCTCTCAAAAACCACCACATGGTTGTCTAGAATCAGCTTTATTCCTAAGTGTCAAAACTTGGAAGTAAGCAAAATGTCCTACAATAGATAGGATTGATAAACACTGGGGTATCCAGACCCTGGAATATTATTCACCATTAAACACATAAACCATTAAGGCATGGGGGAATTTTAATACATTTCATAGCATAAAAGAAATCAAACTAAAAAGAAGTGCTGTACGATTTAACTGTATGAGATTTGGAAAAGGTAACTCTGTGGAGACAGTGTAAAATGAGTGGTTGTCAGGGAAGAAAGAAGTTACTGCTTTACAGTTATCACTCCACTTATGTTATGATGTCAAACTTTATGTGTCTTTATACTGTATATCTATTAACAGTTTTATGGTTATAATTAAAGTTTATGCTCTTGACATTTAGTTCTATGCCAGAAATAAAGATGATGTAGGTACCAAAATTGTATTTCAGCATTACAGAATTCTGTATCTGTCTATATATTTACCTTTAAAATAAAATCCTTTATTTCTTTTTTTTTTAAAGGAAATTTTTCTAGGTATAACGTGCTTGGTTGGCAGTTTTTTATTCCCTTCAGCACTTGCCCTATGTCATCCCACTTGCTTCTGGACTGTAGGGTTTCTTCTGAGAAGTCCACTATGATTACTTGATAGACAATTCTCCCATGCTCTTGTGCTCTTACAAAACACTGTTAGATTCTTTTAATATGCTTTTTGTTCCTCATGATTTAGATTAGTACATCAGTTCTCTCCTCAGAGTAAAAGGAAAATAGTATATAGTTTGAAATTATTTAAACCTGTTTTTCACTAAAATATTGGCCTCTTTAACATATAATTATGTAGAAGGAACATGACTTCATTTTTTCTTTATTCAGGATTTCCCTGTATTTTTCAGTAAAATATTTCCATATAGATCCATTTATTTCCATTTATTTCTGAAAGAAGTTACATCCAGATATACATAACTAGAGTTGGTAAGCAAATGGGATTTTTTATTCTTCACATTATATATATTATTGTGTCTATTGAACATCTCAATTCTTGATCATCCCCCCCCAAAAAAAGTTTAGTAAATAAAAGTGATAGCATCCATGATTATTTTCTACCTTACGCTTATAGGAATGTTGCCAAAAATTAACATATTGAATGAGGCTATCTATTGTTTTGACACAGGGTACCATATCTCCATTATCAATCTTAAAATGCTCTTGAATACATGGATGCATTCTTACTTGAAAGATCTAGATTATACAATTTTAAAGATATAAGATAAAATAAGGAATGTGCTAGTAGATATCTGTGTGTTAAGTATCCACTGAGTTTATCACATTGTCTTTCTTTTTGACCTTGATCTGATGCAGAAATACCACTCCTAGGCATTTAGCCAAAGAATATGAAAGCACTAATATGAAAATTTTTGTGCACCCCTATGGTCACAGCAGCATTACTAATAATGGTGAAGACACAGAAACCACCTAAATGCCCATCACTGGATGAGCAGATTAAGAAGTTGTAGTAGACACACTCAAAGGAATACTGCTCAGCTCTAAAGAGAAGAAAACTTGCATTTTATTGCAACATGGGTGCAACTCAAGGTGATTGCCCTAAGCAAGTAAGTCACAAAGGAAAAAACAATTACCAATAGTTTTTGCTCAAATGAGGAATATGAACAACCAAAGCAAACATGACAATATACAGTAAAAACGACTCTTAAAAATATGGTGGTTGTGGAGAATTGGGGCAGGAGTGAGGAGAGAGGAGGAAAAGGCAGAGGAGGTCAATTTGATAGTGGGATGGCACTAGAACTTTGCTGGCGGGTGCTATAAGGCATACACACACATTGAAATATGAAGATGACATGGAATTTATATAGTTTGTAAACTAATGATAAATTGATACTTTTTTTTTAATGATATGGGTGAAGCTTCTACACACTCTTCTAGGGAAAAATCACTGAACTTGGGAAAGTTGTTCACAACCTGGTATTTTATTTCTTTACTTTCTAAATCTGGTAAGTGAGAACAAAATACCCAAAAATCATGTCCTGCAAAATAACATTATAAAACAAAAATCACTGGATTAATAATATTATGTCAAAGTATTATAGGTGGTCGTCGTGAATCACTAGGTATATTATGTGTGCGTTAATATATAAAGCACATTCCTTAAGTCTTTTCAATCAGGATATCACAACATGTAGCAACTTTGACCACTGCAGTTTGGAGACGGTGGCCCTCATTTCTTCCAGCATGAAACTGAACGTGTGTACAGTAGAGCAACCCCACCTTCAGATTCACCAGGATCTAACACTCTCCAAGAGTAAAATGTAACATATCATGATTATTTAATTGATCTACTTCCTATTGGTCATCACTGAATGGCCCCACCCAGAGAAGCACCAAGCATGAGGCTGTTAGGATGTGGTCTCCGGCCTGGAGTCAGGCCCTGCACATGGCAGGTGGAAACAGTCACCTGCACCTTCTAACCCCCAGAGAGGCAGAGGCTGAGCGGGCTCAGGCCCTGGGGAGCATGGCTGGGCTCCGGAGCTCCCGCCCCATACCTTGCTAGCAGGATTCCAAGGGAGAGAGACACCTCCAGAAGCATTCCCACTGCTGATGTCTCGCAGCACAGGGCTGTTGAGCAACTCCACCGTCTTTGTCACCACATAAAGGTTTTTCCGTGAACTCCGGTATTGGTTCATGAAGCGGGGCAGCGGTTTCAACAGTTTCCTGGAGATAAGAGAGGAGAAGATCAGAGAGAAAGCGATGCCTCCTCACATGACTCTGGATTGGGCTCCTCTTCAAGACCTGGGAGAGTGCAGACTTTACATTCTCACCGTTGAGCCCTCAAAGGGCAGGAAAATATGGGTTTATGGCTTTGAGCTACGGAGGAACACAGAACAGCCTCAGACAGGCACAGTGGAGAGGCCCTGTTCTCTGGTGGGGTAAAGGAAACAGCAGAGTCTGGTACTAATAGAGAAACATCTGCATGTTCCCAAGTTAGACGGTCTGGTTGGGGGCAGGTTATAGATCCCAGCACAGGGCCTCTCATCAGAGAGGCTGGAGCAGCCACACCCTGGTGCTGATAACAGTCCTCAGGGGTGTGACCACCATGCTGAGCGCCACATCAGCACCATCAGGGAGAATGTGGAGCTGCCTCAGCAGGCAGGAGGAAGCAGGGGTGCTGGGTGATTGTCATGGCCAGCGCAGGAGGGTGTCATGGAGTAATGTCCTTGCAGGTGGGCTCCCTCACCTAACTGAAGACAGAGGTTTGGAGGGAGGTGGCAATAAGAGGATTGAAACCCCGAAGACACATTTCATTTCCATTCTGATGTGAGAGTCAGCCCTGAGTCTACCCAAGTTCCCACGGGACTGGTGTCCAGGTAACAGCCGTGTCGAAACCTCAAAACTTTTAATCTGCTGTCAGCAGGGGAGGCCACTGAGCATCCAGGCTTGGGTCTCCTGTGGTCCTTTCAGGGACAGTCAAGCCCCTTAGAGCATCTCTAGGTGCTGCGTCCTCTGACATCTCCTTCCCTCCAAGCCATATTTTATTTCACCTTCATCCAGGTCAACCAGGTTGTCACCCACTGGCTCCCCACTAATTGTGAAGTCTCCCAACTGTGGCCTGTAGCAGGACCTCCCTCATCTGGACCGCTTCCCTCTGCTCTTGCTTGCCTCTCTTTCTTTACCTCTGAGCTCAACTGTTAGATCACAGAGAGACCAAAATAGATTCTCTTCCAGCACATATTCTTTTGCCAGTTTCTGCTACGAGCCTCAGAGTGTCCTTCATAATCTTAGATACCTGTAGGTGAAAACTGTTACATCCCCTGCTCCAATCTAGTATAATTATCTAGATTTCTTTCTTTTACTCATTTAAAATCTCTTGGTGCTACTATTCATAGCTAAGATCTGGAAACAACGCAATGCTCAAAAGCAGATGACTGCATCAAGAAGATATGGTGATATTTACACAATGGAATACTACTCAGCAACAAAGAAGATAAAGTCATGCAACTGGCAGTGGCATCCTTGGAGTGGAAGGGTTTATGCTCGGTGAAATAAGTCAGAAAGAAATAGAAAAATATCAGATGTTTTCACTTACAGGAGGACTGCAGGGGAACCAACCAGACGATCAGAAAAAAGACAAGACTCGCAGGAAACTATAGATCTGATCATACAGCAGGGGTGGGGGGGAGTAGGGGCCAAAACAGTAGAGGTAAGAGCACAAGGCACTATGGTGATAGTTCATGCATGATGGGGAAGAGATTTATAGGGGCTACACCTGAGGGCAGAAATGAAATGTTGTACAGAAATGAAAAATAATGTAAGAAAATAAAAAATTTTAATAAAAAATAAATAAATAAAAATTTGAAACTTAAAAAGCACAAGGTAAGAAGCACAGCATCACAAGGTTAATACCCACCAGCCATGCGTGTCCACACAGTGTAATGAGTGAAGAATACTTTTCCCCCTGGATATCTTTCTGATGTCCTGAACCTGCTTTTCTTGGTTTAATTCAGAATCTCAAACTCTGTTGAAGTTTCTCATGATTGCTCCTCTGAAATCTTTGTTTTCTCATCCAGTCTGAGTCATAAAGCTTGACTTCAGCCCTGATACCCTCCTCCATGTTGTTCTCAGTTACCCTTTTCTCCCATGAGTGTTGCTCAGTGTTGCCCACGTTGGGTGGCGCCATGACTTCAGGTTTGGGATCCTCTTTATCAAGATAATGGGAGGGAAGTGTGTGGGGAAGTAGGAACCCACCTTCTTCCAGTGATGGTCACCTGCTGGATGGAGGGGGAGGGGCTGGGCTGGGAATCCATTACCACTGATCCTCTTGCATCATCAAGCCAAGCTCCATTATTACCCAGAGCCTGATTCCCAGGCCCCTGCTCATATTTGTGGGGTCCACTGGTAGCAGCAGATTTCTCTCCAGCCTCAGGGGAGCTCAACCCTAAGGCCAAGGCTATCATGCTCTGCCACTTCTCGTGCTAGAGCCAGAACAAGGCTCTGGGGCTGATCAGGAGGCAACGTGTTATTTCACACTAACTGAGGAGCTTCCCTGCAAGACTCAGGGGGACCAAAGCCTCCAACCTTCCCTCCCTGTTCATCCTCCAGGAATGGCAGCTGCTGTGTCCAGGCCCCCCTCACCTCTCAGGACTCCACAACCTTAGGGAGTAACAAAGCACCGCCTCAGGGAGAAAGACAACTCGGTCATCAGCATGTTGGTGATGGTTAATGAGATACACAGCTGGATTGTTGTGGTTTTCTTTTTCAGTTGTGCCTGAAGGACAGACTTGCCAGCAGAGAGCTATTCTATCATGCATGGTCTTGAAAATCAGATTGAACTAGATTTATCATTTAATAATTCTTTGTATTGACAGAAATGCTATTTAACTAGATGTCTCTGTCGCTAAAATTGATATAAAGATTTAAGAGTTTCCTTGTTAAGACCGATCTGTGTGATACCACATTCACAGAGTTAAATTCAGTATCTGCACACTGCTGCATATTTTATCTAAAGAAAGAAATGCATAGTCTCTGTTCCCTTAATAAATACTGTGCTTATTTACTTTTTCAATGCTATTTCCTCACTTACTGTAAAGTCCCCTGTCTCACTGAATGTAATATGGGTAAGGACAAAGTTTTTCCTGTCAAATACCATGAAATAGAACAGTACTGGGTAATTACTGCTTTATCAAATATATATTGAATAAGTACTGTTAGTTGAATGAATGAATGAATATCCAAAAAAAAAAAAAAAAAGGCAGCACGGGATGCCAATTTCTTCATTTTGAGTCTCAACAACAAATCCTGCAAATGCCTCTTTGCCAACAATAAGCACACCCCAGGGCTCTGCGGACACATCCCCTCCTTCTCCCATGGCCTCACCTCTTTCTGAGGTCTTCTAATTTCGGTTCTAAGATTTCAACAAATTGATACTGGAGGGAGGATTCTTGCAACTGAGAAAATTCCGCCCCAACGTTCGCCTCTGCCACAGCATCCACAGCCACGTCAATCTCCACTCCCGTGAGCCTAGTGCTCTTGAAGTCCAATGGTCCATTCACATCAACCTCTAGAGGAGAAATGGTGTGCTTAGACTGAGTCAAAAATTAACTCTAGAGGGCCTCCCTGATGGCGCAAGAGGTTAAGCACTGCACTATGAAGTAATCCTCAGCCTCTGATGCACAAATTTGGTCTCCGCCAGCCAAGAAGAAACCCACATGGTGAAGCAGACCTCTCCTGCCTTGACTGCTACTCCCCTCAGCAGTGTATTTCAGTCAGACTGCCTGTTCTGTTCCCCGCTCTGTCTCTGGTGAGTCCTCTCACCCCCACATCACTGTATGCATAAATGCCCCAGCTCTTGTATGCATAAATATATAAATCTTTAAAAAAAGTTAACTCTAGGGCAAATGGAAAACTGAATGGAAATGGAATCTTCCTACACATTCAAAGTCTCTTTTGAGAAGTTAATGTTAAATTAATGTTTTAGTGTTAACTACCGCTGAGAGGAAGTATTTGATCCACCCAGGGGTCCTGTAACAGCAAGAATGACCCGATGTTAATCACTGGGGATGTGACCTGGGCCCTGGTCCAGGAGACACGCAACATCACCCTCCCAGCCCGTCACTCCTCTGCAACGGGAGCAGCATCAGCTCCAGAGGCCACACACTGTGCAGAACGTGGTTAGTATTTAAAGCCAGCATGACCTGAGTAAGGATGCTAGTTCCACTGACTCCCCGGCATGGAATTGGAGCAAATTCTTGTACAGACTTTCATTCTCTGTTATGTAAAATGGGGATACTATTCCAGCTCAAGAGGCTGTGGGAATTATGAGATGAATGATTGTATGCCTTGCTCAATAATTAAGAAATTCTCACTCAGTCAGAGTTCCAAGTCCTTTGCCTGTAGGCAAGGCTGATGCTAGGATCAAACCTTGAGAGTAGCTCATAATTGCTGGAAAGTTGTCCCACCTCTATCTTACAACAGTGGTTTTCAACCTTGCCTGCTATTCTGTGATTGATTGACAATACCTGGTAATGAAGAACTTGATTCCAGAATATCCAAGAGGGAGAAAGAAAGTGGCTTATAGTCTTTCTTCCAAAAAGTTGAGATACGCTTATCCTCCACTAATAGGGAATACAGTTTCATGCAGGAGGCATGATCCACACATTTGACATACTTTGTTTCTTTGTCTCCAATTTCTTTTGCCATGTTCTTGCTAAAATCCTGAAAACTGGGCATGTTCTAGGAGCAGATAGAAGAGGGTTACAGAAATTATTTGAGGCTTACAAATGAGATTAAATAGGTAATTTTGTGTATTTTGAGAGAGTTACAGCGATTTCAAAATATAATACATAGATTTAGGCATTTGTCTATCTGCACAATCAAGAGGATGTATATGCAAATGATGTTCATGTCAGTAGCTGCAATGGCCCTAAGTCCCACATCAAACAATATCTAGGATTCACTACAGATTCCCTGCTATCCTCAGAAGTGAACCCCACACGTTTTCAGACTCCAGCATCTCCCAAAAAATCAGTACCCAGCTTGGCCTCACAGGGCCTGGCTCCAATTCAGAAAACATAACAAATCCAGGTGAGAATCCCTTTTTCTAGGCTGAGTTGTAAGCTCTTTGGGAGAGGATAGAGGTCTTAGTCACAACCCAGCTGCAGGAGGAAGTGCATCCCTCTCTGTGCTCAGCTCATAGGGGCTCCTCTATCAAGGATCTCAGCAACACTCTGCCCGCCTGGTCACAGTAACAGGCCCTGACCCACTGAGGTTCCAGAAACTCAGTGTATTAACACAGCCCTCACCTCCACCAAAGCTCCCAGACAGGAGAACAAGCCAAGAGTGCTTTGCAGGAGGCTCTAGCAGCACCCCAGATGCTGCAGACAGCAGTAGCTTTCCCACCATAAATGAAACACTCAGAACAGTGCAGAAGAAGGAATCACACACAACAGAGGCCCAATACGACAGAGCCAACCCAAAGCAACAGTGGGGAGAAGGATAAATACAAATGGCCACAGCAGCCTTGAGGGGAGCCGCCACCACAGAGAGAAAATCAAATCCAGAACCTAACAACCCCAAAACAGAAGAACTCTATTTTCGTCAGGTGAAGAATTTTAAATTGCCATGATAAAGAAAGTCAAAGAACTGGGCCTCCCTTGGTGGCTCAGCGGTTGAGCTCTGGTTTGGGAAGCTGCCCGCAGACTCTGCAGCGCCGGTTTGATCCCTAACCTCTGGCAAGGGTCCCACATGGCGCATAGACCTCTCCTGGCCACCCTGCACCCCCGCTGCTCCCTCAGCAGTGTACTTCGGTCCTTCTGCCTGTTCTGCTCCCCGCTCTGGCTCTGGTGAATTCTCTCACCCTCCCACGCTTCTGACTGTACCCAGTGCTTGTATAAATAAATAAACAAGTCTTAAAAAAAAAAAGTCAAAGAACTCAAAACAACACAATCAAAACTAAAAAACCAATCAGATATATAAGAAGATGCAGAATAGAAAAAGAATACTACGAGAAACATAATCAACAAATGGAAGATAGATTGAAAGTTTAAATAAGAAAATAAAGGATTGCAGTGTGTAAAAAGGTCGGTAGAAATGTAAAAACTTCTTGAAAAAGCCATGGAAATAGAATAGATGGCATGGAATAATGATCAGATACAAAAAGAAAGAGAGGGCAGGAGAGATATTAAGGAAAAAGAATTAAGAAACACTTCAAGAATTATCTCACACAGTGGAAAAGGAAATAGAAGAGTTACAGGAATCTCAGAAGGAGAAGACAAGACAGTGGTGCTGAGAAGCTCTTCAAGGAAATAATTGAACAAAATATTCCAAAGTTGAAAAAGGAAATAAAAACAGACATACAGGAGGCTAGCAGGACATATATCATAATTAAAGAAAAACCATAGCAAGACACAAAATAGTAAAGCTTCCAAGAATTCAAGACAAAGGAAAAATAATGAAGTTGACAAGAAAGAAGAAACAGAAATCCTATGAAGGAAACCCAATTAAACTAGCATCAAACTTCTCTGGAGAGACACTATGGTGGGCCTCCCTGGTGGCCTCGGGGTTAAGGATCAGCATTACAACTGCGAGGTCCTGAGTTCGATCGCCAGTCACAGCGCTGACCCACATGGTGCTACACCTCAGTTCTTCTAAGCAAAAATAAATAAATAAATAAAATCTTAAAAAACAGAGAGAGAAACACTATGGGCAAGAAAAGAATGGAGGGCCTCCCTGGTGGCGCAAGTGGTTGGGCGCTGGGCTGTGAAGCTTCCCACAGCCTCTGCAGCCGAGTTCGATCCCCGGCAGGCCAAGGATCTATCCACATGGCATAGCAGACCTCTCCTGTCTCCCCGATGCTCCCCTCAACAGTGTATTTCAGTAGATCTGCCTCTTCTGCTCCCCACTCTGTCTCTGGTGAATCCTCTCACCCCCTCACTTCTGGCCTACACCCCAGTTCTTGTATGCATAAATAAATAAAATAAACAAGGACACAATCACCCTAAATAAAGATCTAGACCACATGCACCTAACACACATCTACAGGACACCTTACCCAAAAAGTAAAGATAGATTTTTCTCAAGTACATACAGACATTCTCCAGGAAAGACCATGTACTGAGTCACAAGACAAATATATGAAGATCAAAATCCTACCAACTAAATTCTCTGACCATGAAGGCATCAAGCTAGAAGGCAATTAGGAAAGAAAGCAAGGAACCACCCCAAAACGTGGAGGCTGAACAACATAGTATTAAAAGGCCACTAGATCAATGAGGAAATTAAAGAATAAATTTAAAATTACTTTGACAAA